GCTCCGGAAGAAACAGGGAGAGAGAAGCTAAAGGTGCAAGAGAACGGAAGGCGAGAGCGCGAAGGAAGCGGGAGTGAGAAGGAAGCGAGAGGGGCTAGGGATCGTGAGGTAGGCAGAGAGCGGGGTAATAAAATTTGAGGCGCGCGAAGGGCAGCGGGAGTAACTCACTAAGAAAATGCGACCCGTGGGTGTGATACCGCGGGCGAGATTGTGGCAAATTTTGAAACAGTGTTAAGAAAAAAATTGTTCAAATGTGCAAAACAAACACTACAGATAAAATTTGAGGCGCGCGAAGGGCAGCGGGAGTAATTCACTAAGAAAATGCGACCCGTGGGGGTGATACCGCGGGCGAGATTCTGGCAAATTTTGAAACAGTGTTAAGAAAAAAATTATTCAAATGTGCAAAACAAACACTACAACGCGTTTTGAAACGCCGCCGCCGTTTTAAGCTGTACCAAACGGACCCTCAAGAGTTGTTTGAAAACAGCTGATTTGCAATTATTTCTGAATAAATGATCATTTTGCATCTCTTAAGTAATATTGTTTGCAATAGAACCGTCACAACAATGTATTTAATAGTTGAGAAGCAGAAAATCAATACAGAACCGTTTAAAAAAATCAATACATAAGAGTTTAAAAAAATAAGATACGGGTAACGTTGATGATATCTCTCCTTACTTTTCGAACCATTGATTCCGATGAAGCATATGGTAAGTCCACTTTAGATGTCTTTTGCCTGATTCCGATGAAGCATATGGTAAGTCCACTTTAGACGTCTTTTGCCATAAGCTCCAATAAGCTCCACTTTAGGTGTCATATGGACATTTGATCCAATCAAAACAGAATGAGTGAGAGCAGAAATGGTGAGAATGATGAAGACAACAGAGAGCAACGCCAATGAAGAGAAGAAATAAGAAGAAGAAGGACGTCAAGGACTAACTTACTGGTCTAAGCAGGCATGGTCGGACATCAGGCGAGGAAGTTGACGCTTCATGCACAATGCATTCGCAGGTCTTGGCATGGGACACTAGCATCACTACGATACGAGAGGAAATCTAGTTCCTGGCCGATTTATAAAGAAGCCAGAGGAGGAAAGGGAGCCAAAGCTTCTTGTGTGCATGCGCTGGGTCGAGTCGAAATCGGAGAGGGAGAGCGAGTCGTCAGCGAGAAGAGAGCAAGGCGAGAGAGGCGCGGGTCTCCCTGAGATCGATCGCAAAGCTACGTGGGATGGAGTTCAAAAGGGCAGCGGGTTAATACGCTGTAAAG